GAGAAACTGCCTATAGTGTTCTATATGGTTGTCTCAGATACTTTCAACCTTTCCAGAGACCCCCTGCTCCATACCCCAGCTTCTCCTCTGTGAGCCATGTACTTGTATTACCAGGGAGGGGAGGCTCTACATCTCCTTGGCTTTCTGTATTTGGTTCCCACAACCATCTCCTAAGTCTTTGGGATAGACAGCCGCCAGCCCTGCCTCCTAGGGGAGTAGTGTTTGTGAAGCCATCTGTCAACTAAAAGTGACAGGCTTCAGAAGGTATATTTTATGGCCAAAAAGAAGTCTGGAGTTCTACCTCAGGGGTAGAGCAGCCTACCAAGTATGAGGCTCTGAATTCAAGCCCCTAGTAGTATAAAAATAAATACATAAATACATATGTAATAAATAACAGTCAACCCTGTCCACTGTGTCTGGGGCAGCCTGGAAGTGCCTGGGCTGGCAGGAGTGAGGCCAGCCCTTCCTTCTGAATTTCCTCCCATTGTTCCCCATCCTACTTCCGGGAATTCTGGGAATTCTCCATGTCTGGATCAGCATGGCTGGGCTGCAGGCAGAGGAGGTGTGGTTTTCTTTGGGCTTCTGGCCCAGAGAATAGAGTTCCAGCTGCTATACAGCTGTTGGGACAACCAGACTGCTACCTGTTCCTTCTGCTCATTTGTCTTGCCTGGCCTTTTCTTCCCGTGAACTGCTTCCCAAGAGCTGTGGTGATAGCTCAGGAAATCTGCAGAGTCTTGGGGCCAACTGATCCATCTACTTGCTTGAATGAGCCACTCTGATCTGCTGCCCATTTCCCCATGAAGGACAAGAGAACCTTGATCTCTGATGTGATTCCAGGGTCCTCTGTACCTAGTGCCTGGTCTTTTTGAAGTTGCTTGAGTGTCAGGTCAATATACTAGTGACAGGTGCCCCCTCCATGCTGACCCTTGGGATGACACAGGAGGCTCTGCTTAATAAGTTACGGTACAAAACCAATTTCTAAGTTTCAAGGGAACAAAACACAAAGCAGTCCACATTATAGGAAATATAACTCCAGCTCACAAGGGGCCTTAGGACCCTGGAGTGAACACCCCTTTAATTCTTTTTTTTTTTTTGTTAGTTGTGGGGCTTGAACTCTGGGCCTAGGTGCTGTCCCTGAGCTTACTCTATCATTTGAGCCACAGCGCCACTTCCAGTTTCTGAATATTTAATTGGAGATAAGAGTTTCATGGGTACTTTTCTGCCTGAGTTGGCTTGAAACTTCAATCATCAGATCTCAGCCTCCTCAGTACTTAGGATTACAGGCGTGAGCCACTGGTGCCTGGATTCCTTTTAATTCTTTATTTAAAGAAATGTAAGCCAGTGGCTCACACCTGTAATCCTAGCTATCAGGAGGTTGAGATCTGATGATTGAAGTTTCAGGCCAAACAGGGCAGAAAAGTCCCCATGAAACTCTTTTTTAAAAAAAAAAAATTTTTATTGTACCCATGAAACTCTTATCTCTAATTAAGCACTCAAGGAAGTGATGTTGTGGCTCTAAGTGGTAGAGTGCTATCCTTGAGCAAAAGAGCTCAGGGACAGTGCCCAGGCTCCGAGTTCAAACCCAATGACTGAAAAAGAAAAAGAAATGTAAAAAAAGAAAAAGAAATGTAAGAAAAATTGATCTTGAATACACACAACATTTTTTGTCTTCCTAGGAAGGGGAACTACAAGTAACTGAGCCTCCAGCCCAAGAGGGATGGATTTTAAGGTTGAGAAGCTTATGGAAGCAGCCTAATTTTCATTTATGTGCATGTGTTTGTATTAAAATATACATAACAGGCCAGCCACCGGTGATTCACTCCTGTTTTCCTAGCTACTCAGGAGGCTGGGATCTGAGGATCATGGTTCAAAGCCAACCTGGTCAACAAAGACTCTTTATCTCCAATAAACCACCAGAAAACTGGAAGTGGTGTTGTGGCTCAAGTGCTCACCTTGAGCTGAAGAGCTCAGGGATAGTGCCCAGGCCCAGAGTTCAAGCCCCATGAAAATAAATAAATAAATAAATAAAATATACATAATAAAATGTACTGTTTACACCATTTTAAGGTGTACAACACAGTGACATTAGTATGTAAGCCTCACTCCCATCCATCTCTAGGATGACTTCAGCTTCCAAACTGAAAGCCTGTATCCACTGAATAATTCCCCACTGCCCTCTTCCCCCAGCCCCGACAAACCCCACTCTGTTTTCTGTGTGTATGCATCTAATTACTCTAAGTGCCTCTAAATGAAAGCATATATTAATTGTTCTTTTGTGTCTGGCTTGTTTCACTTAGCATAATGTCTTCAGGATTAATTCCTGTAATAGTGTGTGTCAGAATTTTCTTCCTTTCCAACACTGAATAGTGTTCCATTGTATGTCCACATTGCTTTTTTTTTGTTGTTTATACATCTAGTCAAACTTGGTTGTTCCCATTAGGCTTTATAAATATGGCACTATGAATATGGGTGTGAAAAATATCTGCATGAGACCCTAGCTTCAGCTTTTAGGTGTTACATATGCAGAGATGGGATTGCTAGAGCATACTTTAGTTCTAGGTTTAACTATTTTTTTGGTCCCAGCCTATGGCTTGAACTCAGGGCCTGGACACTGTCCCTGAGCTTTTTTGCTCAAGGCTACTGTTCAACCACTTGAACCACTGCTCCACTTCTGATGTTTGGAAGTTCATTGAAGATAAATGTTTCAAAACCTTCATTGGGCTTGTTTTGAACTGTGATCCTCAGAGCTTAGCCTTTTGAACAGCTAGGATTCATAGCCGTGAACCACCAGTGCCTGGCTCTATGTTGAACTTTTTAAAGAAATTTCGGAACTGTTTTTCACAACAGCTGTACTTTTTTTTCTGTTTCAACCAGCAGTGAACAGGATAATAATTTCCCCACATTCTGACCAACACACATCTGCTATCCTCCTCCCTCCTTTGTTCTCTCCCTTCCTTCCTCCTTGCTTTTGGCAACACGGGGTACAAGTGCTCTATCACTTGAGCCACTCCAGTCTCTTTTTTTGCTTTTAGTCTGTTTTTCAAATAGGGTCTCATGCTTTTGCCCTGGCCAGCCTTAGACTGAGATCCTCTTGTCTCCACCACCTGAATATCTAGGATTATGTACATGTGCTACCACATCCCGCCCTCCCTCTCTCTTTATTATATCCATCCTAATATATATGGAGTGGTACCTCATTGTGAGTAGCCAGTTTCAGGAATCAGCCAATTAGATCATGATTGCAGTCTTATCTCACAAAGCCATAAAATCTCATATTCAAATCAATTGTTACAGAGCCAAGGAAAAGGAGGGTCCCAGACACCAGAGTTGCTTTATTCAGCAGGGGAAAAAATAAGCAGGAAACGATGAGAGTGTACCTGGGGCTGTTGATGGGACTAAAGAAGGGCTGTGTCCTGGCAGTACTGTACAGGACAGGACCCAATCCCCAGGGAAGCAAGCAGAGCCCAATACATATATCCAGAGACAAGTCCTGGTTGATACAGGCCCCGTATTGCAATTCTGTGCTGCCACCATAGAACACAGAGTGAATGGTAATCCCTTTAGCAGCTCAAAGAACATACCTTGCTTTTCAGCTCTCTTCCACAGGCCCTTCTCTGTGGGTGGCCTACTATTTCTGAAGACCCCATCCATATGTGGGGCCCCTGAACTCAGCGGGGCATGGAGCCTCAAGAATGTGTACTTGCTGATGATTCTGAGCCTCTTGGAGGGAATCTGTCTCCCTCGTCTTAGTGTTCACCTGTGCCTGAAGATAGGAAGGTTGCTTTGTGTTTATGTCATCATGGCTGCTGCAGAGCCCTGGGAAACAAGTGTAGATGATCTGTGTAGACATGGGTGATGGGAGCAGTGTAGATGTGATGGGGGAAACTGCCCTAACCTTGCTGCACTGTCAAGGTCTGGGGGAGAAGCCCTTATACTTGACAGTAGCTGCATGGGGAAACCTCTGGGGTAGGGCAGAAAGAGGTTAAAGTTGAGCTTGGAAAGGTGCAGGTAAGTCTGTTTCTTTTCTCATTTTGTGGGTATCTCTGGAGTGTCCTTGTTTTCCAGGGATGGTGTCTGGGGGTGGCTGTGGTAGGAGTATATAGAAATATGTGAGCAGCTTTTCTCTCCACCCGGCCATCTTGTCTGCTGCTTTCGGTTGGGAGCCCTCCCGCACCTAAGGCAGGAAGATAGTGGCCACCAAGAAGACGAAAAAGTCCCTGGAGTCGATCAACTCTAGACTTCAACTTGTTATGAAAAGTGGAAAGTACGTGCTGGGGTACAAGCAGATGCTGAAGATGATCAGACAGGGCAAAGGGAAATTGGTCATCCTCGCCAACAACTGCCCAGCCTTGAGGAAATCTGAAATAGAATACTATGCCATGTTGGCAAAAACTGGTGTCCATCACTACAGTGGCAATAATATTGAACTGGGTACAGCATGTGGAAAATACTACAGCGTATGCACACTGGCTATCATTGATCCAGGTGATTCTGATATCATTATAAGCATGCCAGAACAAACTGGAGACAAGTAAAGAGCACACAATTTTTCTTTAATAAAACTTTCCAGAGCTCTTTAAAAAAAAAAGAAAAGAAAAGAAATATGTGAGCAGATCAGCTCAGCTGGCTTGGTGATGGTGAGGGATGCTAGGGGAAGATTCAGGACAAAGGCTAGTTTCTTTTCCTTCCTTCTTTCCTTCCTTCCTTCTCCCTCTCTCTCTTTTCTTTTTTGTTGGTTGTGGGTCTTGAACTCAGAGCCTGGGAACTGTCGCTGAGCTCTTTTGCTCAAGGATAGCACTCTACCTCTTTAAGCCACAGTGCCACTTCTAGCTTTCTGGTGATTAATTAGAGATAAGAGTCTCATGAACTTTCCTGCTTGGGCTAGCTTTGAACCATGATCCTTAGATCTCAGCCTCCTGTGTATTTAGGATTATAGGCATGAGCCATCAGTACTCAGCTTTACAGGCTAGTTTCTACATGCGACTTTTCTGTCTTTTCAGGTTTCTGGGGGAAGCCAAAGTCCCACTCCGCGAAGTCCTTTCAACCCCCAGTCTATCCGCTAGCTTCAATGCTCCCCTGCTGGACACCAAGCAGCATCCCACTGGGGTAAGTGCCCATTGACCCCTGACTAGGCTCTAGTTTCTGGTCTGAGGCGTTACCCGATGGCTTCTTCCTCGGGCCTTGATGTTTTTCGACTCTGTTGATGTGTCAGAATCCAGCTCTTAGAAGCTAAGCTTGGCCTTCCCTGGCCAGGGCTTTGGATACCAGGATGGACACTGGACTAGGAGTCAAGAAAGCCCTGCCCTCCCCCATACATATCAAGTCAGCTGTACCTCACGCCAGTTTGGCTGCGCCTGGGTCGCGTCTTGCCCATATAGTTACCTTCTGCCTCTAGTTTTCCGGTCAACTCTGATAATCTGGCAGACCTTCCTTTCCTACTGCCCAGCCCCATTCTCCAGATTTGGAACATCTGAGTCATCTAGGTGACAGATCACATGGAGAGAAAGACAGATAGCCCACTTCCGTCAACCAGGACTGGGCTGACTCCCTTCCTTTTCCTCCATTGTCCTTTCCACCCCGCCTCCTGCCTGCTCAGGACCGTCCTGGTCCAAGCAGTCAGTTCCTGGCCCTCATCTCTGGCCTCCTGTTATTTTTAGTGAGCTAAATATACTCTGAAGGGCTCTTTCCTCCTGGTCACCAGAATTCCTGACCTTCCCTCTGGCTCTGCTCCATCTCCCAGGATGCACTTGGGACTATTGATCTGGAAATGCTTCTTCCCAGTGAGGCCTGGTTGGGGGGGAGGGTGAGTTCTAGGCCTTGAGACAGGATGATTGTGTGTGTGTATGTGTATGTGTGTGTGTGTGTGTGTGTGTGTATGTGTATGTGTGTGTGTGTGTGTGTATGTGTGTGTGTGTGTGTGTGTGTGTGTGTGTGTTTTGGCCCTTGGATGTCTGTGACAGTTAGTAACTGGCCAGTTTGAGACCACGCTGGCTGAGCATTAAGCACATCTGGGCTCATAGCAAACAGATTTCCAAAATGGGGACACCAATCAGTGGGGCATCTTTACATTCTGAGGATTTAAGGGGTCAAATGGACTTCTGCCTCTCTGTACTCCTGATCTGCTACCCTTCCGATGTTGGAATTTGCTCCCAAGGCATCTTAGGCCAGTGATGGCCAGTAGCTTCCTTGAATAGGAATAGTATTTCCCAACAGAATCCTTCCTAGCCTTGGGCTGGGAAGGTGGCTCAGTGGTAGAGCTCTTGCCTTGCATGCATGAAGCCCTGGGTTCAATTACTCAGCACCACAAAAGCAAACAGAAAAAAGCCAGAAGTGGCACTGTGGCTCAAGTGGTAGAGTGCTAGCCTTGAGCTGAAGAGCTGAGGGACAGCACCCAGGCCCAGAGTTCAGTTCCCATGACCGGACCTCCCCCCCCCCCCCCCCAAAAAAAAAAAAGAATCCTTCCTAGCCTTACAGTGCCAATCTGATTCAATGGGACAATCTGATTCAATGCAGTGTTCTTGAGCCTGTCTCTTATCACCTCCTGAGTCCCCTCTAGTTCCCCCCCACACACTTGTATGTGTATGTGTATGTGTATACATGGGTGCCATTCCTGGGGCTGGAATTCAGGGCCTAGGTGTTGTCCCTGAGCTTCTTTTGCTCAAGGCTAGTGCTTTATCACTTGAACCACAGCACCACTTCCATTTTTTTTTTTCTGAGTAGTTTATTGGAGTTGTCTCACAGACTTTCCTATCTGAGCTGGCATTGAACCATGATCCTCAAATCTCAGCTTCTTATGTAGCTAGGATTATAGACATAAGCCACTGTGCCTGGCTTCCAGGGACTTCTGGAACTGCTCCCCTCCCCATAGCGATTCTTAGGTGGTCCCCTGTAGCAGAGCACCATGGAGGAACCATGGTCATGAAGGTATCCACTGAGAGAGGCTGTTGGAGGCTGGAGTCTGCCTGGAGCTTTTCCATCGCCCTTCAAGATATGGTTGGCTCCTCTGCAGTATATGGGGTTCCCAAGCCCAAATTGGGATTTCTTCTTTTCTTCTGTACTGACTGAGACCTCAATATCTCTCCACTACTACCTTCTCTGCATCTGAGACACTCATGTTTCCTGCATCTGCTCCTCTCCAAGCTCAGCGTTTCCTCCATCCTTCTACATCTAGTTGTTGTTCACTAGACTGCCAGGCTGGCTACTTGTTACCTCTCCTCTCCTTGCTCCTATTTCCATGCTTTCATGCTCTCTCAGCTGCATGCTCATCAGCCAAGACCTTGTCTTCTCCCTATAGCCTGGGGTCCTGGGGTGCCTACAGTACAGGACCATCCTTTACCATGACTCCAAAATGGGTGGTGGAGAATCAGGAGGTGGTGGGTGAAAGAGAAAGGATGGATCCTCCTGGGAGAGCCAAGCATAGGCTGGGAGAGATGAGGAGATGAAGGCTGTCCTGCTGCCTAGGATGTGGAGAGAGTCCAGGACCAGACTCGAATCCTAGTGACTAGAGATCTTTTTAAGCTTCTACTCAAGATTTAGCATAGCCCCAGGCACATCTAAGACCCTCTGGCCTGGAGCTTCTTGGGCTGCTGTGTTATAGTGAATGACACTGAGAACTGGGCTGCATGTGGAAGGGACAGATAGCCACAAAAATTTGAGGATTCTCACTGGATTCTTTCATAGCTCAATTTCTGGACCTATTGAGCAGAGCATGGCCAACCACTTTCCGTTTCGTTGTAGCTCAAATTACTTCTAAAAATCTAAGGATTTTCTTCTCTGAAGAGGAAAGAAGGATGGCCAATAGACACATGAAGAAATGCTCAACCTCCCTAGCCATAAAAGAAATGCAAATCAAAACAACATTGAGATTCCACCTCACTCCAGTTAGAATGGCTATAATCAATAAATCTAATAACAACAGATGCTGAAAGGGATGCGGACAGAAGGGAATCTTACTATATTGTTGGTGGGAGTGTAAACTTGTTCAACCACTTTGGAAAGCAGTATTGAGGTTCCTCAAAAGACTCACATAGAGCTCCCCTATGACCCAGCAATCCCACTTTTGGGCATTTACCCAAATGATCACAAACAAGACCACACTAAAGCTACCAGCACGACCATGTTTATTGCAGCATTATTTACCATAGCTAAGATATGGAACTTACCCAGATGCCCCTCAGTAGATGAATGTATCAAGAAAATGTGGTATATACACACAATGAAATTCTCTGCCTCCATCAGAAAGAATGACATTGCTCCATTTGTTAGGAAATGGAAAGACTTGGAAAAAATTATATTAAGTGAAGTAAGCCAGGCCCAAAGAAACATAGGTCCCATGGTTTCCCTTATTTGCAATAACTAGTATATATTTGAGTCAAGTAGAAAAGGTCAGATAAGTTGATGTTAGGGGAAAATGAACCCCAAGATAAGTATTCAAATGTTTTTTTTTCTTTCATGCAATTGTTTCTAACATATTTATAAGATGATCTCTATGTTGCTTTGTATGTCCCTCCCCCACGGTATAACCCCTGCTTTCACTATATTTGATGTTGGTATAATTTGTGGAGGGGAAGGGAAAAAACAAATCGTTTAACTAGGGATACAGGTGGACCCATTGCAACAATGAGATGTTCAAGTCGTTATGTTGAAAAGCAAACTTTACAACTTTGGTGGGGGATGGGGGGAGGATCGGGTGGAGGGAAGGGAGGAGTATGGGAAGGGATGGGAAGGGGAAACAAAGAGGAGGCAACAATGCTTGATAAGAAATGAACTCGTTATCTTGACCATGTAATTGTAACTCCTCTGTACGGTATTCTCACAATAAAAAAAAAAGGGGAAAAAAAAAGAAAAAAAAAGATCCAAGGAGCCTGCTAAAGGAGTAAAGACAGAGCCTGTGAGATTTTTAGAAACCTAGGAAGGACTGAGGAGAAGAGGTGGGGAGAGAGAGTCTGGGAGGCTCTGCTTCAGGCTAGACTTTAGGGTACATGTGCTTATTTAGTTCTCATTTATTTATGGCTCACTGGGCTATGTGTGCTGGGCACACATGTAGGAAAAACATACAAATGCATTTTAAAAATAACTTTTTATTGAGATTAAGTAATTACATAAATTTCACATCGTATTGTGAGATAGTGAAATAGTTAAAGTCACAAACACATTTTAACCTTCACAAGGCAAGTTGTCATTATCATGGTCTTCCTCATTGGGTGATACGTATGTTTCTTTCCTTTTGTTTAGCATACACATGCATTTTAAGAGCAGCTTGTCAAATGCTGGACACATGACAGAGCTACATCCTATTACCTCAGCCTTGAAAGGCAGAGTCAGGTGGGAAAGGGAATCCCCAGGTGACAAGAACACATGGAGGGTTGGGAGAGCCAGCAGACACTGCACATTGGGCATAGGGATCAGAGGAAGGCAAGCACACTGCTCTGGGAATCCCTGAGCTTCTTTCAAATGTTCACCTAACCAATGCTTTAGCATGGGAGATGCCATCCTACCCTGCAGCAGCCCTTGGAGGCATCTGAGGGAGAAGTGAGGGATCCAGGAACACAGTAACCATTTGCCCATGAACTCCTGAGGTCCTACTGCTTGCCGCTTATCTCCTGGACTGCAGCTTTCCAACCCTGAGCTTGTCAAGACCAGTGCTGAAGAGCTGCCTCCAAGTATGGACAGATAACATGTGGCCTAGACTGATTGCATAACTTGTGGGAGGACAGAGACTTCAGAGTTGATGGCAAGGTAGCTCTCTCCTGCCTTTGTTTCCTGAGCCCTCTCTGCCTAGGGGCTGAGGACTCCAAGATGGCTGATTTTGGTTCCTGGGCAATGTGTTTTATTGGATATATGGTTGATAGATAATTGTCATGTAATAGAATAATTCCACAGTGTTATAAAGTCTGGAGACCTGAGGAACTGGGCATCTAATTTGATGTCTTGAAGAGGGTCCCAGTGGAACTTCTAGGCCAAAGTCCTGACCATAGGGCTCACATCCCATAGGAAGAAAATCCTGTGTTGTGATTGCAGAAGCAAAATTCTTAGATTATTTCTTCTTCTTCTTCTACTTCTTCTTCCTCTTCCTCTTCTTCCTCTTTTTCCTCTTCTTCCTCTTC